GGTGGTCAGCCAAAGAGAAGATAACATAGACGAATGCAAATCGTATGCTCCATTCACACTTGGTGGTACTGTAATGTCTTCCCGAGACCTCAGTAGAGTGCGCCGCGCGCGAAGTGGGCGGGATGACCTACTTTCGACGGACACGCGCAACGGACGTTCGCCACGTATGGGCATTTACCAATAAATGCTGAATATTGGGTACAGGTCATTGCATGCCATAGCCATTGACACTGTGTAGTAAACAGTCGATCAATCGTCTTAGGACCCTCCATGTTTCATGGTGAAGATGAATTTTCGGGCAATGATGACTTAGTTTTGAAGATCCGATGGCAATGGCATGCACTGTTTACACCCTGGTATGGTGGCTGCTTCGCTAAAAATAATTTCACAAACCTTTTGCCGTAATCAGCGGGATTGTAGAGGAAAAGGAACATGGCTGAAGAGACGCCAGCGAGTATACCCGGCATTCCGTGAAGATTATTGACGCCACATGTGTCATGAATCTTGAGCTTACTCGCCAAAAATGGCTGAAAGTTCATGGTTATGCATATATGATTGAGTACTGGAATGACATAAATTCTGACTCCTCCCAATAATTTTATTTTCATATTAAACACATCCAGTGCTGAAAAGCATACTCAACTGATCCTTCAGTTTCCACCTCTTTTCCTATTTATTTCATCATCAATTGAAAGCAACAGAGTCGAATGCACGGATGCCATTCAGAAAGAGGATGATCAATGTGAGGCAGCATTGTGATGGAGCCACTAAGTGAGACCGCGTGTCAACTGACATTTTCTTACCACCACATTACATTTTCACACCTCACCTTGAATTCCTGGTCTAGGAACTCAACAAGAAGGTCTGGTCTCGGATAAATTCTACGACCACAATGGCATTTAGTGCCCTGCTCCAAAGCGATGCCTCAGACCTCAATGAAATGACTAATTTCTCCTGAAGGTGTACATTTTTCCCAGACAAGGACCTGATAGTTGGACCGGCGTTATCGAGAGGCGCACTTGGTTTCCATTCTGTAAACCGATTGTAACATTGTCCCCTTTTCGCCAACTGTATCCTTCTATCAGCTTCCTGCTCCTAATCTCAACGCTGCCGCGATTTTCTCCTTTTACGAGTAGGTAACTATACTCATTTCGACTATACTCTTCTATTTATTTACACCACTTTTTTTGAATTCTGACCACGTTGATTTCTACAATTGTCACCTCCAAGCATTCTAGAAAATGAAAGCCGCAGTAGGAGAATCGCCCCTGATGTCAACATGTTTTGATGATGAAAGCAGTTTCTGCTGTTTTAAAGTTAGACAGAATCTGTCACTTACCGTAATGTACTTGTATCCGACCACAGAAAGAGTTCCTGCCAAGACACCTACAGTGAGCGCGTGCATTGGGTTAAGAACCATGTTGGCAGTGGTTCCAATTGCTACACCACCAGCAAGCGTGGAGTTAGCGATGTGCACCATGTCGAACTTCTTCTTAAAACGACTCCATTCTTATGTGGTTGGAAGTTTGGAGTTACTTTTACGTTAGAACATCGCTCACGTGATGATCAACGGCCTGGGAGACTATAAATGTCGTAACGGTGCAGGCCACAAGCGATAAGACTGTGTTGCAGATAGCTCGTTGTTGAGCTTCTGCAGGCTCAGCAACCGCCGCATTGAAGGATGGCCAGAACACCCACAAAAAGATGGCTCCTGGAAATATCCGTAGCTACATACTTCTGCCTCAAATGGTTAACATCACCCTTCAAAATTGCAGTCTAGGTTTAGAGTCTTTGGATCACAGGCGAAGCGTAAAACCTGGGGCAAGTGACTCCACAATACATCTGGTCTATTATGCTTCAACTCCCGGTAGTTTTTATTGCTCTACAATGAGAAAATTGAAGTTACTCACCAATCATTGCATAGATGTCGGAATGGTAGACAGAGCCTTCATTGTCGTGTTCCCTCTGTTTGTCATCTGCGAACGCCCGTGCGCATGCTAAACCGAAGTAGGCACCGAAAGCGTGAACGACAATGGAATCACCGACATCGTTCACCTGAATACATTAAAATCCAGAAGTCAGGAGAAGTCATAATCCTAGAGAAATCCTTTTTCAAAGCCTCACTCCTGCTAGTGAGTACCGCTCTTAGAGAGGTGTAATTTAGTCATGAGAGAGCGGCAGATACGCCCATAGAAAGTATATATTGGTTCTGTGAATAAAATGACAGCTCCTTTTCAACTTGGAGTCGTACATACAGTAGCGCTCAAAAGCCTTCGGTGGAATGGTTCTTCAGCCGTACTTTTCAGTCGTAACTCCTTTCCTACTAGATCATGCGAAATTTCTATATTTGAAGCGTGGGTGTATTGTGAATAATTACCACTATTAACCTGCAATCTGATCATGTTCCAGACTTTCCAAAGAGCATAAACTCAAAATCGACTGAAAATACAAATGATAGTCTTTCTAGAACCTCCTTCCTTTTCGTCCTGTCTAAAGTGTACGAGCGCTAATGCCGAACACAACAGATGAGAAAAACGCATGTACGGCGCGAATAAGTGCAGACGTCAGAAATTTTACAACTAACAAAATCTACTACCGCAACAAACACCTTGCTCCATCTGTGGATATTGCAGCTTTGCAGTCAAATAGTGATGGGTAGGGTGAAATATGCTCTTGTTGAACATATCCAAATTTTGCGCGATTTGGTCTACTGAGGAAAAAGTTATGAGCGGAAAAGCGCCAAAGCATTTCACCGAAGACTTTTGAGCGCTACTGTAGTTAAGCTACCAGGTGATAGAGTGATGGTTTTGGATTGGGCTAATGTATTCACCCTGTTCATGACGATCCACCAGGCATGGATCATTGCAAGGGGGGGGGGGGCTCTCTGGGACTTTCCCACTACCGCTACCCAGTCTTACCTATCTCGTGGAACTTCCAAAAGGAAAAAAAGAGAAATGGACTA